TACCATATTATCCTCATTTAATTAATAATTTTAATTCTTAAGGGCATTTTCTGGTATTTTGAATGTTTCATCATTCTCTGCCTTTTGCTTTATATATATAGATTAGGGGTGAAATTTTGTACCGATTAATCGACCGATTTGGATCGGACCGAATCAGTTGGTTTTGTTTTTTTCTTCATTTATCAGTTTTTCTTAACCAAACCAAACTGATATATGCAATCCGATTCAAGGTTCAAATATTCCTATTTGTCGAAACCCCTAGACTCCAACTTCAAATACTTAACACTTCACCACTGCACTAAGAGGTCTTGTTGTTTCAATATATTTATTTCTTAAATATTTAAAGGTGTTCTAATATATATACAACTTTTCTCTTATGCGGACGTCCGGATGTTATTACTATGCGGACACCATTATAAACAAGAAGGAAAGCAAGGAGGGGTAGTAGAAAATACATGGTGTCCGCATGGTAATAACATCCGGACGTCTGCATAGGAGAAAAACTGTATAATATATATTAGGGGTTCTTAGATCTAAGTCCAAAACGATTAGCTGTCATTGGGTCTAGTCCTTGTGTTTTTGGTTTTAGATGTAGGTCCTTTGACATTTATTACTTTTTTGTTGTGTCGATTTTACCCTTTAAGGTAAATAAAGAAAACACATTGAAAATCTAAATTTAATGCATTATTTCCTTGAAATTGAATTCCAAATTTTGAATTTTAAATTTTTTTTTCCTTGATAATATTCCTAATATATAGATAAAATACAATTTAATCAATAAAAAGTAAAGACTCACATATATACCAATTGATCAGACAAGCACCCACATTAAATTATGTACCTGACATACAGGTAAATAATCTTAATACATACAGGTATATATGTACCTGCCTTATAGGTATATATATACCTGCCTTACAGGTAAGTGTTTTTTTCTTGAGTTTTCTTATGCAGTTTTTTTCTAGAGGTTCATATTTATATACATACGTACATGTCTTCCATGAATTTTTATCTCAGTTGAGTTTGAAGATCCATACCAAGATATTATATGAGTTCAATTAGCTGGGCTATAGGGTATAACTACCTAGACTAGAGGTAATTTATGGATTTAATTACCTGGACCAGAGGTAATTTATGGGTTTAATTACCTGCATACTGCATACGAGGTGTATGCATAGGTACCTTACCTATTGTTAAGGTATGAAGTTTTTATGAACTCTTATTACAAATTTTGATGTCGGTATACCTTGGGAAAAATTCAGAATTCAATAAATAGATTTGCAATTAAATTCAAATCAAATATGATAATTAATATCCTACAAATCAATAACTTACCAGTTTTAGGAATTCATAATTTACCTTATTTATGTTTTAGGTGCATAACTGGAACAAAAAATAAAAAATAAAAAAAAGTAAATATCAATAAATTGAAATAAGCATGTAATTTTATGTGGCGCAAAAGTCAAAGGACTTGGATCAACAACAATTTCTGCGTGGATTGCACCCAAAGTCTCTCCTCATAATTGGACTTATGCCGAATTTTCTATATATATTATCTCCCACTTAACCCTAGCTACACCACTTAAATGCGTTGTTTTAATACCCTTTTATCTCCCAATCGTCACCTCTCTCTCTCTCTCTCTCTCTCTCTCTCTCTCTCTCTCTCTCTCTCTCTCTCTCCTTTTGCAGCCGCCTCTACTTTCTATGTAACCCAACACCTCCAGATCCACAGCACGACCACCATCTTATATGTGCCCACTACTTATATTTTATCACTCATGCATATTTTATCACTTATGATTAGAGGTGTTAAACGATATGGGCCAACCCAGCAGGGCACGAGCGCAGTCCGTTTAAATAAGGCACTGCACGACATGAGCACAAATATTAGTGGGCCGTGCTCGGCACGGCACGAAAGCTTGCCAAGCTCGAGCCAGCTTCAAGCATGACCCGAGCTCGGCCCACTTAACTCTTTTTTTTTTGAACTATTCTACTATGATGTCTATTTGGATAATATTGTAATTCGAATTAATTCATAATAAAATTAGGTGATAAAATAGATTTTCTCATGTTTCTTTAGGCACTGATTTCCTGAAAACATGTTCATAATTGAATTAGGCTTATTATCACAAAACATCCCTGACGTTTGCGAAATTATCACATTGCATCCCTAATGTTTTTTTGTATCATTAATGGTCCCTAACGTTAATACATGTACTCTTAAATAGTCCCTCTGTCAAAAAAACCGTTAAATTCAAGGGTATAATCGTCAAATCAATCCAAAACTATATAATAAAAAATTTCTTCCCTTCTCTCTTCTTTTCTTTCTTCTTTCTTCTTTCTCTCCGCCTGGCCCTGCTCACTCTTCTTCTTTCTTTCTTTTTTCCTTCCCTTCTCTCTCTCTCTCTCTTTTTGTCTCCTCTAGCCACCCAAACCACCACCCCGACCACCAAAGCCACCACTCTATCTGCAACTCTCTCCCTGCCCCCTCCCACAGCCCACCAACCCATCCACTCTAGCCACCCAAACCACCACCTCGACCTCCATAACCACCCCCTCTATGTACTTTCTCTGCAACTCTCTCCCTGCCCCATTCCATAGCCCACCAACCCAGCACTCTAGCCACCCAAATCACCACCCCGAGAGAAGGAAAGAGGAAGAAAAAAGAGAAAAAAGAAAAGAAAAAAAAAAGAGAATGAAGGAAAGAAGAAAAATGAGGAACAAAGAAGGAAAGAAGAAAAAAAAAGGGAGAGAAAAGAAGAAACAGCGAAGGAAAAGAAGAAGAAAAGAGGAGGAAAGAGGAGAAAAAAAAAAAGAGAAACAGAGAGAGAGAAGGGAAGAAAAAAAAAAGAGAAAGAAGGAAAGAAGAAAAATGAGGAACAAAGAAGGAAAGAAGAAAAAAAAAGGGAGAGAAAAGAAGAAACAGCGAAGGAAAAGAAGAAGAAAAGAGGAGGAAAAAGAGGAGAAAAAAAAAAAGAGAAACAGAGAGAGAGAAGGGAAGAAAAAAAAAAGAGAAAGAAGGAAAGAAGAAAAATGAGGAACAAAGAAGGAAAGAAGAAAAAAAAAGGGAGAGAAAAGAAGAAACAGCGAAGGAAAAGAAGAAGAAAAGAGGAGGAAAAAGAGGAGAAAAAAAAAAAGAGAAACAGAGAGAGAGAAGGGAAGAAAAAAAAAAGAGAAAGAAGGAAAGAAGAAAAATGAGGAACAAAGAAGGAAAGAAGAAAAAAAAAGGGAGAGAAAAGAAGAAACAGCGAAGGAAAAGAAGAAGAAAAGAGGAGGAAAAAGAGGAGAAAAAAAAAAAGAGAAACAGAGAGAGAGAAGGGAAGAAAAAAAAAAGAGAAAGAAGGAAAGAAGAAAAATGAGGAACAAAGAAGGAAAGAAGAAAAAAAAAGGGAGAGAAAAGAAGAAACAGCGAAGGAAAAGAAGAAGAAAAGAGGAGGAAAGAGAGGAGAATAAAAAAGAGAAACAGAGAGAGAGAAGGGAAGAAATTTTTTTTTATAATTTTGGATTGATTTGACGATTGTACCCCTAGATTTAACGGTTCTTTTGACAGAAGGACTATTTAAGAGTACATGTATTAACGTTAGGGACCATTAATGATACAAAAAAACATTAGGGATGCAATGTGATAATTTCGCAAACGTCAGGGACGTTTTATGATAATAAGCCATTGAATTATATGGAAATTTATAAAGTTGAGATAGTTGAAAAGAAATTTTCATGACAGATATTGTGTTATGATTCAATATTGATGAACGACTCATCTACAAAACATGAAAGGACTTGAAGTTTTGATATGTTGAACATATACATGTCTTCTTATGTATTGAAACTTTTCGTGATGGTTGGATAATAATTTTATTTATTGTCTATTTTTAAGTAATCTATGTTCATGAGAAAATATGTGCCGGCAGATTTTATGAGTAACTTTGGAGGCCATTTTGGACTATTAATTGGAGTTAAAACGACTCCACATTTTTATTTTATAAAGATTAGTGTCCCTAGTTTGATTCTATGTAAAGTTGTGGTAATCAGACTTATAAATTAATTACGATAATTTTTAAGTGGAAAAAAAAAAATCAAGTGAAAAAAATTCAAATTAAACGGGTTGGTGTTTGGGCCTGAACCCGGCCCGTTTCAATATGAACTTGGGCTTTGAGCTGGGCTGAGATCAATGGTTTTACTAAATGGGCCAGCACGGCATGACCCGATAAATTAAATGGGCTGGGTTGGCCCGCAACGAATACATTAAAGACACCAGTTTAATTGGGCCGACTCAGCCCGTTTGACACCTCTACTTATGATCAAGAACTATCAAACAACTTGGTTACTGGTCGACGATCCTACAGTCGAACCGATTTGTGAATCTTTGGTCAGCCTTATCCATAATTCTTCAGTCAACCCAATTCACGATTCTTCAGTCAACCCAATCCACGAGTCCACGACCCTCCAATCCACACAACCCTCCGATCAACAAGACCCATAAATATAGGATGTTGACTGCTCCGTTCGACAGGCACATGGATTACATTTCAAGTCCCCAACCAAGAGACCATTGACTGAAGACTTGGAGTACTACTATTAGTACCAAACCATAGTTTGGGCCTCACTAAGCTCACATGAAGCCCCCAAGGAAGCCCACAATGGATGGCTCAAGCCTTGCCTATTTAAGGGAACACTCCCTTCATTTGTAACCTAAGCTGTATTTCACTCTCATTTTACTCTCAAAGGCTCTCAAGCCTATGTACAATGCAACAACATTTTACTATAGTGAAAACAACCATACAACTCAACATGGATGCGGCCCATTTGGGTGAACCATGATATATCGTCATGTTCTTGGTGTGCGTGTGTGTTTTGGTCCTTATCTCATTGACCCAATTTTTGGCGTCAACACCGTCAGTTGCATTCGTCCTAGTTTTGATGGAAGTGGTCGTCGCACTCCTCTCGATCTGCAATAGTCGATCTTGGTTGCGATAAGAACAAATGGCTTGGTCACTTTGCTAAATGGATACAAATGTTGAAGATGTCCAATGCTCCCACAAAGACAACAAGTGATGGGTTCCAATCTTCTTCTTTCGCTTTTCTTTAGCTTCCTTCACTTTCTTCTTCTCCTCGATCTTCTTTGTCCAACTTGTACTTTCTAGTGCTTCGAGCTTCCTCTTGTGGTTGGCCTCGTCTCGTTCCAGTGTTGATACAACAACTATTGTTTCCTCATAAGTCTTTGGCCTATGTCCAACGGTATAATTCTTGATGTCACTACTCAGTCATTGTCTAAACTTGATGGCCTTTAGCATCTCATCGTCAAACACGATTTTGATTTATTGGCCCAAGTCCACGAACCTCTCTATGCACTCAGCCACACTCAAAATACCTTGCTCCAAATCCAAGAGCTCCATAATTTGTCTCTTTCAAAGATATATAGAGGGGTAGTGATCATAGAAATGCTGTTTAAGTTTGTCCCAACTTATAGTACTAACAGCCTTACCATCTCTGTGACGAATTGTTCTTCACCATTTGTCGGCTCCTTCTTCTAACATATGGGTTGCCAACCTAATAAAGTATTTTAGTAGAACACTCAGACAATCTAACTTCCTCTGAAGATGTCTAATCCAAACCTCAGACTTATTTGCCCCAGAAATCCCATAAAATCTCCTCGGTTTCATATTCAGAAATCGGTTCACAAAGTTTCTCTCAAGCTCTTGCTCACATTTTACTCTCTTTGGAGTTTCCAATCCTAGCATCCTTGTTAAATTGCTATAACCAACTTCATTATGTTGTGCATTATGCGTCTGTACATTTACTTTGTCTTGTCAGCTTCATGTCAACTAGAGTAGACAATAAAATAGTGGACAAGACTCAGGAAAAGCTCGAATATAGAAAACAATGAATATAAGAATGAATAGACAAGATCTAAGCAATAAGAATACACTAGGGAGATTCTTAGAAAACAAATGAGATTCAAGGGACAATAATACAATTGGAGGAATTCTGGTCAAGAAGAATGTTTATGAATAAGATTGGGATAATCAGAAGGAATTTCAAAAGATAAAAAGATTTCGACGAGTTCTGGGTTGAGTATTTTTATAAGACAACAAATTTCAAAATTTTCCAGGGGCTCATAGCTTGCTTCCCCAAACTCATGCTCTACAAATCCCCATTGTTGGTTCGTTTGGACCTTCTTCTTCTAGTGGCTGTAGCTCAGGCGACAATGTAAGGTCTTATTTTAGGTAGTCCTTTTGTTATTTTGTGCCTGAATTATTTGTGCTTGGATTGAGCTTTTATTTTTTTTGGTTGAACCCTTGCTTTTATTTCTCTGACTTTTGTATTAGGCTTCTATATAACGTTGTTAGGTAATGAAAATGTTCATTCCTTTGACACAAAAAAATTCATGGGAAGAACATGATGATAGAGTCATTACTAGAAATATAGCTACCACCCACTGATATTTTAAATACAAATCCACCAGTTGGCATGTTCATTTGAGCAAATATCGCCCAGAATGAAGTACTAATTTGTAGCTAAGAAACCAATTCTACTGGTCACTAATTAAATTAATTACCAGTTCAAAATTTTTTAAAAAAAAAATTAGTTTTCTTGGAAGAAAATAAAAAAATTGTTGATCGATCACGTTGCTCTAATTTCATAATTATTATTATGAATACTGCCAGTCTGCCAATTAAGCATGTCTTGTCCCATGTTTGACCTTCTTTGAGCGCTATTGGTCAACAATATTTTTACTTTCAAATGCACATGAGAGAGAGAGAGAGAGAGAGAATGAATCAAATTAAATAGGTTACTCTTTTTAATGTCTTTGACCAGTCAGCAGGTGCCTTTCTTCAGGTGAGAGGTTTAACTTCAATTTTCGTTTCCTACAAAAAATAAAAAATAAAAAACCTTCAATTTCTTTATCGTTGGCTTTACTTCTGTGTTTTTTAGTACGATATGCTTTAATATTCTTTTTATTTTAGTTATGGTATATTAGTTTTTTTTTATTTTTTTGTTAAAGTTAGGAAGGGGAAGGAGGGTTTTTTAACACACACTATACTAGTTCTGCTAACGGTAATTTGCTATTCTAATTTCTTTTTTTTTATAGATGCGATATTGGGGGAGGGAGTACCCTTTTTACATCTCTCTTAACCCAAATACCCAAAAGGAAACCAAACGACAATAGGGGTGGATACAATTCGGTCCAGCCCATCTCCACCCCTCAATTGCCTATCGAACTATAGCCAACCATCGGTTTTGATCGGCTCAGTTATGGAGAAAAACAATCGCAACATCTGAACCAAACCAAGTTGCCCTCAGTTTTGTCATTAAAGTCGCAACGTTGGCGAGATTTCACTAGATCTCAACTCGTGGGGAAGTAAAACGTCTACATCCCGACTGTTGGCGTAGGTTTAAAACATAGAAGGAAGAGTGAATGAGAAGTAAGGCAGATGGAATTTCTTATCTTGGCAAAACAATTAGTTGAGGCAGGAAAACTAAAAGTAAATCTATTAGTCTACTTACTCATAACATTAGCATAAGAACTTCCAGTTGCTAAAACTCCTGTAGAAAGGGCATTCTATGGTATGAACTTTATTAAGAACCGGCTGCGCAATTGAATAAGAGATCAATGAATAAATGATAGCTTGGTTGTATATATTGAGAAAAACATCTTCAATGACATTGATAATGACTTTATAGTCCAACTTTTTCAAAACATGAAAACTCGTAGAGGACAGATGTAAATGTATTTATTGTACATGTTATTATCAATTTTTATTTATTTATAGAAATTATGGGATTGCATTCATAATTCAACAAAAAAGCCTAGCCACAAAGGGCCAATACAAGCTAGCCACAAAGGATCATTACAATAACGGAGCGATCTAACATCAAAATTAAAACAATCTGGAGAGCTCTTCCACTAACTATCACGTAGGATCTGAGAAACTTTAGTATAGGCATCCCAACTAAGAGTGCAAACTCAAAACAACCAAAAACAAATCAAGCTTGAAAAAATCAAGCCATAACAATACAAATAAAACTCTCATAAAGAAGAGGTGAAAAACTCTCACAAAATAAATGGTGAAAACTACATAGAAAACACAAAGAGTCTCTGTAACTTATTCCAAACATGAAAAAATCTCAAAAATGATGGTGGTAGAGATCCGTCACCGAAACGAATGTGGAGATCTGACATTAAGATGCATCCTCCTGTTGATGAGTAAAGGAAAATCATTATAAATCGAAGAATAAGGGAAATCTTCTGTCTTTGAAAATTGGGGAAAAGAGGAGATGGGAGGAAGGGAACAGTGGCTTCCTCTCCCCTCAAAGTGAAAATGGTTATAGAGTGTTTTTTAAGAGAGAGAAGGCTAAAGTTTTCGTTGTCCCATGTTATTAATTATTAAAGGCTGGAATTTTTGCAGTTATATGTTGTATTTTATCTTTTTTACATAGAAAAAATTCCGAGTTTGCCGTTGAAGGGGATGTGGAGTTAAATTCGAATAGCATGATACTTTTGTAAGTGTTGGAAAGCACTGTCCACACATTGAATTTGAAACAAAAATATAATATTATTTCTGGAAAAAGTTTATGACCTTATGGTTATGGATAAGAATTGTATTTTCAAAGACTAAAAATCACATATATAAATTTAAATCGTTTCATTTTTCTATCTTAAAAGCCCTATTAAAATTTTAGATATAGATAAATCCTACACCATTTAATTTTTATAAACAAACAAAAAAAAAAACTAAAAAAGGATAGCTAGCCCAATTGAATTTAATTTTGATTATTAAATTACTTCAATGTCCTATTGAGTGTTTGGGGTTTTTTTTTAGGGAGATTCACTATTATACCCAATATAGGGGCCCAAATTATAAAAATACCTTATATGAAATGGACTTTAGAAACACACTCAAAACTCATTTACAACATAACAAAAAGGCTTTTAACTTCTTATACATTGCAAAATTGTCATCGATTTCTTAAAACAAGCCCAACCCCAAAACCTTATAAACAAACCCAAAACACTCAATAGGGCATTAAAATAATTTAATAATGAAAATTAAATTAAATAGAGTCAGCTATTATTTTTTGGATTTTTTTTTGGGTTTGTTTATAGAAATTAAATAGTGTAGGGTTTATTTATATTTTTTGTGCTAAGAATGGGTATATGACTAAATATCTCTTTTTTAATGAGGTTTTGGAGTTGGGCTTGTTTTAAGAAATCGATGGCAGTTTTGTAATTTATAGGAAATTCAAAGCCTCTTTGTTATGTTGTAAATGAACTTTGTGTGTGTTTCTAAAGTCCATTTCATATATGGTATTTTTATAATTTAGGCTCCTAAATTGAGTATAATAGTAAATTTCTCTTATAATTTTGGGTACAAAAGTACTAACTCACACTGACAACCAACTCACTTGACTTAAAACTTGAATAGGGTTACTTGGGACCATCCCATGAGGCCTGGCACTATTAATAGTCAAAACATTTCATTATTGGTTCCTGCCCTCTGAAGTTAACTTTAGTCAAACAATTAATAACACTACTGTTCCTGCTGTTAAAAAAAGAAACTGCAGATGCAGCTACAAAATCTAGTTGTCTTCCTGTCAATTACAGATAATAACACTACTGTTCCTGCTGTTAACAGTTACATTATTCTTAACATTTTTCTATGCTCATCATGCAACCCATTATTATATTAATCTTACCTAGTGAAACATTAAATTAAACCCCTCCCTACTCTAGCTATGTATGAACATAAATAGGCAAAAATAGTATATAGCTTTTTGATGGCCAACATTCTAGGTATGGGTGTATAGATAGTAAATCTAGAATCAGCTAACCGATATCTAAAAGAAAAATAATTATTTTATGGTACTGAAATATGATCACGTAGTATAATTCGTCCATGTGTTATAACAATTGGGTTAAGATTTCCCACTTTCAAGTTATAATACCAATTAATATTCATTTGTATTACAACACATACACGGGTTATACATTTTGATCAGTCAGGAGGTGCCTTTCTTCAGGTGAGAGGTTTAACTTCAATTTTTGTTTCCTACAAAAAATAAAAAATAAAAAACCTTCAATTTCTTTGTCGTTGGCTTTACTTCTGTGTTTTGTGAGTACGATATGCTTTAATATTCTTTTTATTTTAGTTATGGTATATTAGTTTTTTTTTTTTTTGGATTAAAATTAGAAAGGGAGCAGGAGGGTTTTTCACACACACTATACTAGTATTAGTCAAATAATATGGGTAGAATATTTTCAGATATATTTCATTCTCCGAAAGGAGGTATTTATAATACAGGTTACAAACCCTAGTAGGGTTTAATTAGGAAATAAGTGGAATCCTAATTACATAATATCTACACAAAATGTAAAATAAATAAAACCCAAATAGAATAGGACTAGGACTCGCCAACACTCCCCCTCAAGTTGGAGCAAAGACGTCACGCATGCCCAACTTGTCAAGCGAGTTGAGAAAGATACTTGTAGAAACAGCTTTCGTAAGAACATCAGCTAACTGATACTCTGAACAGATGAAGGGGAAGGACACAATCTGCGCATCCAACTTTTCCTTAATGAAATTTCGATCAACCTCCACATGCTTTGTACGGTCATGTTGTACAGGATTATGAGCAATTGCAATCGCAGCCGTATTGTCACAATATAACTCCATGGGTTTATTAGGCCCAAAACCAACGTCTTTCAACAATCTTCTCAACCATAGTAACTCAGATACACCATGGGCCATTCCCCGAT